CCGGTACCCATATGGGATCCCAGCACATTCAAGGTGAGGACCTTAACCATTACGTTATTGCGCCGGGCCCAATAATGTTGTTTCTGGTTTGTGTGCTATCACGAGTTCCAGGAGAGGTGAGGCCTAGCAGTAGTAGAATGTGGGCAGAGAAGCCAGGGAAAGGTGAATGTCTGCAGCTTTCTAAGTGTGTCCAGGTTGTTCATTGCATGTCTCTTAGGTTAATTTATGTTGTTGGGGAAGCTGGGGCATAGATAGATCTTCAGCTTAATGGATGGACTTAAGGATAATGACCATTTGTTCCTTTTGGGATTATTGTCACCAAGCTTGATTCATAAAGACTCCTTAATAAACCTTAGACATGTCAGGTGTGATCTCGCTCGTACCCCGCAACAATTACAGACTTTTTCTTTCTAGGTTACTTTTTTTTTTTTTATAAAATCTAACTGGACACTATGGTTCATTTTTAATTTTTATGAAAATATCAAACCAAGTGACTTTGAATCTTATGAATGAATTAAGCCATCATCAGGTATTCATTGACTGGCTAGTTTGATTTATAAAAATAAATGTACTCAGTGTTGGGAGAGAAGATGCAAAGCAAGGAATGCAATGATGGGTAAACAAATGCTAAAATTGTGCACTAAATTACATCTTCTAAACAATAAGACCATTTACTTAATTATGAGTTTTAGAGGTTTTTTTTTTTTAATATCAATGCATTCTTTTGACAAGCAGCTCTGGAGCCCTGGCTATGCTCCAGGTACTGTTTCAGAACTACAGTTGGAAAATATAGAGAAGTTCCAACCTTGTAGTATTCACAATCATTTTGAGGAACAAATGGAAAGGAAAAGTAGTAGTGAACCACTAAATTTTTCCTGGTCTGGTTTGGACTTGTTGTCACCTGCAGCATCATATTCTTAATTGTTGCAGCTTTCTTGATATGCTCAAATTCCAGCGCTACATTTATAGACTAAACATTATGTGGGACATTCACTGCACTCCTATAGCATTTTAAGTAAACCAATATGCATAAAAGTGTTCACTGTTTATACCTTCATTCATTGCACTCATATAAACCGATAAATAAAGCAATATACATATTAAAAGTGTCCAGTAATTATTTATACCCTTCATACAATGTGGAAGATGCTAGAAAGGTTTTGGTTGTTGCTGTTGTTGTTTTACTATGGCAAGGCAGCAAGAACACTGAAATTTCAAAGACCTTTTCATACTAGAAAATGAGTCTCAAAAACTGGTCAACAGTTAACCTGAGAGGTATAAACCAGAAGTGCTCAGGTTACAACTGAAATCCAGTTACCCCAGTCCTTTGACTGCAAAGCTCTGTTAGGTCAAACCAGTTCAGCAGTTAACATGCCACTGGGATGAGCTCTTTCCATATTGAGGTGTCCAGGCATCACTCCTAGCTCCACCTAATATGCACCCTGGGAGGTGATGGCTCAAGTGTCCAGGTCTCTTGTGCTGATCTGGGACACCCAACGAATCTCTGGCTTCTAGCTTTGGACTGTACAACCCTGTGTGTTGCAGGTACTAGAGAGTGAACCACAAGTGGGAACTTCTCTCTCTCTCTCTCTCTCTCTCTCTCTCTTCAAGCAAATATACAAATAATTATGTAATATATTTGTTAGGAATTTTCTGTGTTAAAAATGAAAACCACACAAATAGAATCTGTGCTTGTCTGGGTGAGTGGTGAGCAAAAGAAGAAACATTGAGTCTAACAATGTTAATAAAACCCAGCTCAGCTTTGGAAAACCTACTGTGATATCTTACGTGTTTACACTTTCCTCCTGACTTCATGCAGGTCCACATTCTCTCTTCCCTTTGCCTTTGTATTCTTTACTTGCCCTCCTCTCTTCTTTCTCTCCACTTCCTTTTGCTCCCCTTCCTTTTCCTCCCGTTCATTCACTTTTCTTCATCTTCTTTTCCTTTCTTTCTCCGTGGGATATATGGCAATTAGCACCTTCATACCCTTTTTACTTACCCTTCAGTCACTCCCCTGGTATTCTGAAAGCCTTAGTAGCTCCCAGTATTCTTAAATATTGGCTAAAGAAGCTGCTCCACTCCATAAACTATGCTGAACTGGAAAGATCTGCAGCTACATGCATTCCACCCTTCACTTACACCCCCCTAAGCTCCTTCTTTGCTGCTGTTGTGGCCTATAGACCTGTGAAAATCCTGGGGACCCAGTAGCAAGAGGTATGAAGTTTCCAGCACACATTTGATAAGGGCATTCCTCCCCCTCTTTCTATAGCACTGACCTTGAGATCATGCATATTCCTTCTACATTGTGTCTGCACAAAATCCCCAATAACAGCTTCTTAATTGAGTTTCTGGAACATAATTAGCATTCTTTGGTATAAACATTCTAATTATGCTGTCCTTTCATTGGAACAAATAAACTACAGATTTTACTGATTACAAAAGAAAGATGAAAAAGGAAAAACATCATTTATGGACAAATGCTTTTGTGGTGGCAACTGGAAATCAGGAAAAGAGGAGTGACACATGTATCTTTTGTGCTCCTGTTAAATTTCTTATTCTGAAATTCAGTGTCAATAACCTTGGAAAGAAATACTGGAGGGAGGAAAGTGTTCTTTTCCTCTGATCAGAGAAGATTTATAAATTATGTAATAAATGTTCAGGCAGGAGCTAACTTTTAAAAATAATTTTCCGTAGTTCACGACACCAATATTCATTAACATTTCTCATTTTGACAACAAATCAAAACACAAGTAAATTCACTAGTATCATTGCAATATTCATTAAGTAGTTAAGACCTGCACTGTTACATGTGGATATTTAATACACAAATGTATGCCGCATATGCACAAACATATTAAAAATCTCATAAAGCCATGAAGCTAACCCTAAGGAAAATCTCTTACATCCTCTTTGCTTAATTCCCATACTTCTTTTCTTGATAGACCTTAAGGGCAGCTACTATTTAATTATAGGTAAACACTTTTTGCTTTTTGAGGAAGCAAAATGTTTTAATGTTTTAAGTATTGTTGATTTATTTTAAAAGTAACCCTACCTGTGTTGTCATGCATATAACTAATGTAAATGTATTACGGAAAACATAAACAGTAACAGTTATTATTGCAAGCTACTAAAGCCACAACATCTGCTAGATCTGAAGTACTCAGCAAAATCCCCTATTGTCTTGGTGTAATCATCACCCTAAAGAAAAAGCAGTGCTTCTCCTCGAAGCGAATGTGCTGAAAGTGAACCGAGCCACTAAAATTCCTTATTGAAGCCTTTTATCACTTCTGATATGAACTATAATGCACATGACATCCCAAGATTGTACCTACTTCTTGAACTATCCTCACAGACTTGAGAGTGGATTAGGGGGTTGCATCGTGGAGCAGTGGAGTATGCAATGCCATCATCCCATATGAGCACACATTCAAGTCCAAGCTGCTCCAATTCCAACCTAGATTCCTGATAATCTTCCTGGAAAAAAAGGTTGGAAGATGGTCAGGAACTTGGGTCCCTGCACCCACATGGAAGATCTGGATGGAGTCCTATGCGCCTGGCTTCTACATGGCTCAGCCCTGGCCATTGCAGCCAATTAAGAAGTGAACCAGATGGAAGATTATCTTTTTCTCTCTAACTTTATCCCTCCGATAAATAATAAACAAGTCATTAAAATAAGAGTAGAAAATATAAAAAAGTCAATGTCTATGGGTATACAGTGTTTATTAGAAGAAATATCTCCCATGAGCCCTAGCATTGACACACTCATAAGTACAGACACTAACATCACTTATCATCACTGAATATATAATGATATAAAACTAAAGCTACATGGTGACATACAAGACTTTCACCTTCAGCACATCTGTTACTCATGCCAATGGAGGAATCTTGTTCAAGTACTTCAGTAGACCAACCCCTCCCCCCCCCCACACACACACACACGTTTAACAAGAGTTCATCTTGTATTCTCAATCTGTGATTTTTATTGACTTTTTGAGATTCCACACCTAGACATCTCTCAAGCAAAACAAGAAAGCCTATTTCATTTTTCTCCATTTCAAGGCAGTCTATATGACAACTGTATCATAATAAATGCTCAGTGTGTACTAGCTAAAAACTCAATGAATAGACCGTCAATTCTCATACTAAGTGTTGCATGTAAATTAAAAGTTTCTTAAACTTAATTACATTTGTTGAATATGAGATTACCAAAATGCAAACATAGTTTCATTGCATTATCTTCATCTCAAAGTTCAATCTATTTGATTTGAGAAAGAAATGCAATAGCAACTATTTAGCTACTGATTTATAGTTTTAATGTGGGTCTTCTGATTAGCATTTAAACCAGAGGAACTGCGGTCTGAAACAAATTCACTATATATTTAAACTATAAGACCTCTACAAATTGGTAATTTCTGATTTAGGGTACATACTCTGAAAATATAAGTAATGGAAGAATTGCATCATCTTGATTAATAACAGGTAACTTTTTACAGTAATATTAGGGATATTAACTATCAATTACTCTCAAGCCATCTTATTTATTCCAGTGACTGACAACTACCCTCTTCTATTCCTATACTTCTTTCCTCATAGTTGTCTCTCTCTATTTCTTTCTCTCTTTCTCTCTCTGCTACAATTTGAGTGAGGTAGCCAAATGGTCTTCAATTAAGTACTATTTCTTCACACAGGTTAACCCAAAAAATCCTATTTTGAGAGTAGATTATTATAGGAAGATTACTACAGAACATGATCTCCTACATTGCAAACCTTTCTAAAGTAACTTTTAATCAGATATTCATTAACCTTCTGCTATGTACCAGGTATGGTGCTATAAGCAAAGGATACAGATTCATCTCTCTCTCTCTCTCTGGGATGAAGCAAACAAAATAACTAAACCACAGAAGGAAACACCAGAATGAGAAGCACTGTAATAACCAATTGTCTTCTTTCTCAAAGGGCACAGAGCCTCAGTATCAGTCAAACACGGTACTACTCACCACCACAATTACATTTGCTGCCGGGATTGGAAGGTTTTCCACTTCGGGATCCTGACCAGACATGGCAAGTAGATTGAGAGATGGGTCATATGCAGGTCTGGGGAATGCTGAGTTAACAATTTGATGCCGTTTGCGTATTTGATCTACAGAAGAGGAATGGTAGCTGTGTTTATATATTTTTTGTGGAACTATTTCCAGGCTCTTCTCAACATCTTGAGTATGCTGATAAACGAATACTGGCTTTCCACCCTTCTGCCGATGAACCGCAAGAAAGTGGTCATTATTTCCTGAAAAGCTTTCTGAAAGAGAAAGAAACAGAAAGGAAAGCAAAGATCAGTAAGAGAGATAGACATACTTGCAAAAGGGAATGCATCTTTCTTGGGAGACTTCAACTTGTGCAGTATTTAGACCAGTTGGTATCCACCTTCATCCCCTGTTTCATTGTTTCCCACATATACAACGCACTTGCTGGTGTGGAGGCATCTCCGAGATTTTATATGGGCAGACAAGAATGTAATTTGAAAAAGTCCTATCTACTGGACATGCTAATTTGATTTTGGAAGGCATTTCTTCCATTACCTAAACTCACAGCTCTAGTAGTCCATTGGACTTCTAATTTTCAGTGTCCTATCTGCTTCGCAAAATATAAACATTTATATCATAGTTAAGTTTTTTTCTTTTACTTGATATTCTATACAATTCTTAATACACACTTACTTTGCATGTATGTATTATAATTGACTACATGCAACTCTGAAACATTCTTGCAGTATATGTTAAGCTCACTGAGGAAAGATATCTGAATGTATTCATTTTCACTGCAATGTCCTATTGTCTAACAATCTCTGTTCTCTTTTTTTCTGACAAGTACTATGGCCATACAGATAAAGACCACCTTCCTCAGTCTTCCTTGCAATTAAGAAAGCCATTTGGTCAAAACATAGCATTGGGTGTGCAGTAATACAACATGAGCAGAAATGTGATGTGACATGCTTTTTCTTTCGATCCTTTCTCCTTTGTGCTGATTAAAATGAAGATACCCCAATGGAAGCATGAATGGAATCTATATGACAACAATGGTAGAGCAATAAGACAAAAGGATCTTGTTCTCTGATAAAACTTGAACTGTCAGCCACATCAAAACCCAGAGTACTCACTCAAATGCTATATGGGAACAAAATAATTTTCCATCTCCTTTCAGCTACCATTATGCTACAAATGTTGTAATTAACAAGTGAGCCTATGCACTAACACATTAATCCCTATTTCATACTCTTTTATTCTTTCCTAAATACTTAACTATTTATTTATTTGAAAGGCAGATGACAGACACCACACTCACACACACACACACACACACACACACACACACACGCGCGTGTACATGGTAGGGGGATGGGACAGAGAGAGAGAGAGAAGAATGGGAGACAGAGATATACACAAGAAGACCTTGCACCTGCAGGTTCACTTCCTAGTTGGTTTCAGTGGTCATGTCCGGCGAAGGCTGAAGTCAGCTACCTAAACTCCATCTTGATCTCCCAAGTGGGTGACAGAAGACCGGTCCTTAGACTATCTTTTGCTGTATTCCTAGGAACATTAGCAGGGTGCTGGATCAGAAATGGAGCAGCTGAGATTGCTCCTAGTACTCTGATATAGGAGGCCAATGTTGTAAGTTGCAGTTTAATTCACTTAACTACCTGCTGGCCCCTCATCTTATTTAGTCTGTTAGATAAGTGTCCACTGAATTGAATAACTGCTAATTCTATTTGTCAACTGCCAAATAGATAACAAATAATACACGCTAATCATGTGGCTTAAACTGCGGCTTGAGATTCCTATCTCCTGTATTGTGCCTCATTCTAGGCTACTCTGGCTTCCTGCTAATGTACAACCTGGGAGACAGCAGACAGTGGCTTCAATGACTGAGTTCCCACCACCTATGTGGGATGCCTGGATGGAGGTCCTGGCTCCTTATTTCAGTCTGCCTCAGGTCTGATTGTTGCAAAGCATTTGTCAGGGAAGGCAGTGGTGCATCAGTGGATAGAAAGTCTCTCTTATTTTTAAGCTAAAATAAAAGAAATAGAAGGATCTCATATTTTCAAACAAAAAGAAGAGCAACAGATAAAATGTCAGTTAGGGAAACAAAGATAAGGTCCTCTATAAAACACACTTAAATTAAAAAATCACAGCATAGTAATACCTCTCTTAGTGCCTTATACCAGTTAGTGCCTATAAACCTTAAGGTACCCCATGGCTTTCCTTGGGAGACCTGTGGCAAAAATAATCTCTATGAGTATGGCCCTTAGGAAATCATTTCCCTTTTTTGTACAAGCAGAATTCTTTCCCAATTCTCTATGATACTATGTTTTACCTCCCAAAGCTTGCACAAGCCTGCAAAACTCAGTCATTAACAAACCCAATTGCCACACCACTATCGTGGCAGATAGAGCACTCTTATTACTGAAAATATATATTGCTCCATAGATAGGCGAGCTTATCTCTAGGAGAAAAAACAACAAGTTTTAACATATGGTTTGTTTTCCCAAGTCAGGATCATTTTAAAATATATACCAAAAATAAACTGGGATAAAAATAACACACGCATTCTTTCTTTTTAAAAAAATTTTTTACTAATGTAAAAAGAGCACATTTCAAGCATTTCACAGAATTCCAAGGAAGTAGCCATCTTTCCTTCCCTCCCCTTTCTCTTCCCTCTTCCTTCCTCTATCCTCTTCTTCTTTTATTTAAAAAATATTTTTTGGCAGAAACACAATTTCAATTCACTATGTAACCATAGGCTTAATGAACCACCGATCACAAGATTCAATAAATAAAAAGTAGAAAGGCCACAGTCGCATAGGAGTATAAACAGGAACTGAAATCAACCAAATCAAAGGATGAAATGGTTCATTTTGATACTTTATTTTTTGGATTCTGTATTAATGACTACATTTTAGACAACCTCATTACTGTAGCTCTCTACAACTTCAATCTCAAAGAAAGGAAGAAAAGATTGCTCAATACTCAGAAAGTTTCCATATTCTGTAACATTACCCAGCACATCACTTTTAGCAAAATAGCAAAATCAAACTTTGTGGTCAGAAAGTCAATGCACATGTAAAACAGTTTACTACCTTTTCTATTAACAAAATGCTGATGAGATTGCCAAAACTGAAGGTCCCACTTCCGAATTCCAAAAAAGTTACTTTTATTCCTAATGATTTTTGTGGGGGTCAAATTTGATGAATTTTTATTTCATTCAGTGGAACAAAATCTGTGTTTATGTCAAAGTAACCACCATTAAATCACCATATTTCTCAAATTGTGGTCACTAACTTCTTTAAAAGTTTATAGTCTGGGGACCGGCACAATAGCCAACTGGCTAAATCCTCACCTTGCCTGTGCTGGGATCCCATATGGGCACTAGTTTGTGTCCCCGCTGCTCCACTTAACATCCAGCTCTTTGCTTTTGGTTTGAGAAAGCAGTAAAGGATGGCCCAAAATCTTGGGACCCTCTGCCTGCAGACCCACGTGGTAGACCCAGAAGAAGCTCTTGGCTCTTGACTTCAGATTGGCTCAACTCTGGCCATTGCGGCCAATGGGGGAATGAATCAGAGAATGGAAGACCTTTCTTTCTGTCTCTCCTTTTCTCTCTAAGTCTGCTTTTCTGCTAAAAATAAATAAATATTTATTTAAAAACTACAGTCTGTTTAGCATGTGTAAAATTGAAAACATAATGATCATATTGTATTGCTATTTTGAACACACATAAATTGTGTTTGAATGTGATGTGAAAGACCTAAAAGGCTGAGGTTGCTGGTACCAGAAGGTGATTCTCCAAATGTGATTATAATGGGAGAAAGAACATTTGTTAATAACCCATCTAAATTTCCTTGTATGAAAGTTAAAGGAATACTAATGAGATAGAATGGTACTGATTCGAGAAACATATGCTGGTCACACAAGGCTTGATACAGGGCAAAAACTTTAAAGCTAATGCACATCCTGGATTTACTGTAAATATTAAGTAGAAGGAAATAATCAGTCTACTAGGTCAGAGGAAGTGGATTTCTCAGAAGGAAATAAAGAGTTTAGAAAATTATACAGTCATCTTTATTTTTCTTTTTGTATGGTACCAGTCACAGTAAGCATTTTAAAGAGACTTTTTATTTTATGCAAACAGAATAGCTGAATCCAGCTAACAAATGTCTTTTGTACTAAAATTGGCCTGCCATAAAAAGGAAAAAGAAAAAAATCTAATCTGAAATATAGTTAAAGCACAATTAAGACTTCCCAGTGTTATCTAGTTGTCTGTATAAAAGCCTTAGTCCTGCAGTGTCCTTGGGTAATGAGTAACAAAGTTATCAGCACAACATTAGAGGCTCTACCACAGCTGTTAAGTAGGAAAAAGTTCAAAGTGTTGTCCTTAGACCCACCTGTGCCAGAACAACCTGGATTATTATGATGCCATTTCCTTGATGTCAGTCATAAACCACCAATAAGAGAACACTCCTAGATATAGCACAGCAATCTGGATTTACAATTCAATTCTTATCAAACTGTGAAGTTTCAGAACTATGGGGCTCATGTCAAGAATTAGTTTTCTCCTCTCTGTCCTCAAATATTACATGTCTACCACCTCTCCCATTTGAATCTGATGCGTATAGCTGGATAAACCTTTTTAAAATGTTAAGATGGAGAAATTTGGAATCCAGGATAGCTGAATAGGTTATGGGCACACTAACTTCAGCTGTTGACAGATATGAAGAGAACAAAAGAAGGGCTGTGTTTTTACGGTCTGACTGAAGACGCTGTGGGAAAAGAGGAGAGAAGCTAGAGACATTGCTGCAGGCAGCCACGTGGCACAGCCAGCTGCCACCAGTGAGCCACCATCGGACTGCCTCAAGGTAAGAAATCACATGCCCTGTGCCAGCAGTTCAAGGCGACACTCAATTCCAAAGTTGTCCACTGATTTTTTTTTTAAGATTTATATATTTTTATTGGAAAGGCAGATATACAGAGAGGAGGAGAGACAGAGAGGCAGATCTTCCGCCGGATGGTTCACTCCCCAAGTGACCGCAATGGCTGGAGCTGAGCCAATCCGAAGTCAGGAGACAGGAGCTCTTCTGGGTAGTCCTCAACTGCTTTCCCAGGCCACATGCAGGGAGCCGGATGGGAAGCAGGACTACCAGGATTAGAACCGGCAACCATATGGGAACCCCGGGCGTGCAAAGCAAGGACCTTAGCCACTACACTATTGCGTCGGGCCCGATGTCCACTGACTTTTTCTCTACGT